ATGATAGAAAGAAGTTTCAAGCAGAGGGGGCGAGGTTATATAGCGAGCTACAGGCACAAAGGGAAAAGAAAGCGGCTACTGAAGAAAAACTCGCCCTCCTAACTGAAACAGTTCTCCATACGAAACAGGAAGTTGCTGCAATCAATAGGACCTTGCAGAAAGTTGAAACAAATCAACTGGAATTTGAAAATGTATAGAACACTTTTTTGCAGAAGTCCGCCAAGGACGTAGATCTGCACATTCAGTCCTATATCAACAAACTAGATGACCATCTCACTCGAACCTTCACTCCCGCCGTGATTGAGAGAATAGTGCAGGGCAGCGGCGGAGGAGGAGGTGGTGACGAAGACGGGGATGGAGGCGACGGAGATAAGAAAGGAAAGGGAAGACAGCGAGAAGGAGCAGGGACCAGCAACAAAATTAAAGTTAAAATTCCATGGACGTACACCGGCAAAAAGGAAGAAAGCGTGTTGCATTGGATGGCGGCTGTAGAGTCCTATGTGTACGGACAACGGATTCCTTATTGGGATAGGGTCTTGATGGCCACTTTGTGTATGGCCGATGACGCAATGAGTTTTGCAATCTCGTTACAAAAAGAAGCAGGATGTAGTTCAATGGTAGAGTTTTCCCAGCAAACCCGTATTGAAGACTTTCTCAAAGCCGTCAGGGAGAGGTTCGAAGATCAAAATCTCGCCCGAAGAACAAAAATGTTAATCTTGAACCTTCCTGACAGGAAGTGGAAAGCACGTCGGCACTAAAAGCTACCATGGATGAGTCGTTACAGTGCACCTAGCACGGGTTAACCCCGGCTCAGATTTTGAACAGTTTTGCTCGCGCCTTACCTGATCCCGTCCGAACTCAGTTATATCCCCGCACTAAGGAGGAGGGGATGACCTATGAAAAATTTAGTAAGATTGCATTAGATCATGCAGGATTTYTGRYTGAAGCCADCTATTGCCACTATTGGAAAGATCTGCAAGCGGGCAAAAGATGGCAARACCGCACCATCTCAGGATCAATACCTGGGAAAGACAACCTCCTTCTGACCTTTGAAGAAGGAGGTGTCGAATCACTTTCTTGGGACCAAATAGATTACGGTCTCGATGAACCCAACAGACCGGTAGCTCAGGAGGGGAGTTACGCGGCTGTTGCAGCTCGCGGGGGAGGGCGTCAAGTAAGAGGGTGTGGCCGAGGAAGAGGTCACGGCCGTGGTGGGCGAGGATTCGGCACCCAGAGGGGTGGTGGTGAAGGAAGCCACTACGTGGGAGGAAGGGGAAATGGTCCCTCATACGGTGGCCGTGGTTCTTACTCCACCTGGGGTAGAGGAAGAGGCTCATGGTACAACAAGTGGGATAAGCCATACCCACCTCATCCAGGCTTGCAGGAAGGAGAACCTTGGAAAGAAGTGGGAATCACAGAGAAAGTTTGGGCCGAAAGAAAGAAGGCAGATCAATGCCTCAAATGCGGGGACCCCGACCACATTGTCCCCTATTGCCCTGATTATAGGGGGGCAAAAGGGAACAACCAGTAGAGGTGTCAGTTGCCTCTACCGGAGCTTCGACTATTGAAAAATCAGAATCCTCCCAGTCGAAGTCTCCATTGGCAGAAACTGAAGAGGAAGGAAGTCCCCATCTAGTACACTGTCCAGAGGTGGCAAACGTATGCATCTCTCTAGATGGATCCCTCGCTGGCATGGGTGATGAGTTGGCCGCTCGTCGCCAAGCCTGRACTGAAATGCGAAAAAAGAAAGGACAGCTAATAATTGCAGATCTTGAAGTAAATCGAACAAGAGTAGGAGGTATAATGATAGTCAGCGGGTCTACACGCAGTTATATTAGTAAAAGGGGTTACAAAAACTACATTTTGGGCTTAAGGTTAGGAAGTTAAGTGAGCCCATTGTAAGTAYGTTAGCAAATAGTAGTGAAACCGTTATGGATCGCTACGTCGAAGGRGTACAAGTATACTTTCGGCTGGAGGCAGAGGGGAAGGTGGAACGTGTTCTCCACTCTCTGACCTTCTTGGTGGAGGATAACTTGCCCTTTGATGTGTTATTAGGCATGGATTGGGGTGAGGCTGCGCATGCGGATCTAAAGTTAAGAGAACATGAATGTTGGCTTCCAAGTCCGCAAGGAGGTAAGAAGAAAATCCGTCATTTTCATGAATGTGGTAAGAAAAGCAGCCTGGCTCATTGTTGTATGAGTGCCCCCGCGTTCGCCCGTCATGTGAAGAAGTATAATTTGTACGACCAAGTCTTTGTTGCACATGTGCGCCCAGTAAAGGAAGGAGAAATTAAAGAAGAAGTCAGGTCTGAAGAAATTGAGAGAATCCTGAAAGAGTTCGCAGATGTGGCTGAAGCCCCAAGCGGTGTGGTGGAAAGACCAATCCGCCACCGCATTGTTATCATTTCAGTGAGCGCGCCCCTGAAGGGGCCTATCTATCGTATGTCGCCTCAGGAATTGGAGGAACTGCGAACCCAACTCGACGAGCTGTTGAAAAACGGTTGGATAAGACCTAGCTCCTCGCCCTATGTTGCGACACTGCTCTTTGTGCCTAAAAAGGACGGCGGCGTTCGCATGTGTATAGATTATACGAGGTTAAATGATATATCAGTGAAAAATGCCGAAGCATTACCGCGAATAGACGATTTGCTAGATCGCGTGCAGGGAAGCAAAATATTTTCAAAGATTGATCTGAAATCCGACTATCATCAGATTGAGGTTGGGCCGGAAGACCAACACAAGATTGCCTTTAGGACAAGGTATGGACATTATGAATTCGTAGTTTTGCCCTTTGGTCTAACGAATGCCCCTGCTACTTTCCAAAGAACGATGAACGAACTCTTTCGTGAATGGCTCGACAAATTTGTTGTGATTTATTTAGACGATATTTTAATTTTTAGCAAAAATGAAAAGGAGCACGCTGATCACCTTCGATTTGTGCTAAATAAATTGAGAGAAGCAAAACTCAAGTTAAATCCAAAGAAGTGTGAATGGGCTAAGCGTCAGGTGTTATACCTGGGACATGTGATTGATGGAGATGGGGTCAAACCGAAAGATGTCAAAATAGCAGCAATCAAAGATTGGCCAAACCCCCGCACCTTGACTGAGTTGCGGTCGTTCCTTGGGTTAGCCAACTACTATCGAAAGTTCGTAAGACACTTTACGATAATAGCTGCTCCCCTTTGCCGATTGCTTAAGAAAGAAGTAATTTGGAAGTGGGATTCAGACTGCACTATGTCCTTCAAGCGTCTGAAAAAGTGTTTGATTAATTATCCGGTTCTTAAAGTAGCGGACCCTTCCTTACCTTTCGTGGTCGCGACTGACGCTAGTCAATATGGTATAGGTGCTGTACTCCAGCAAGATGATGGGCATGGGTACARGTCTGTAGAGTTTATGTCTTGCCGCTTACCTAACGAGAAGGTGGCCGCTTCAAYGTATGAACGAGAGTTGTATGCTCTGCGTGAGGCTCTCAATCATTGGCGACACTACCTTCTAGGYAGGCATTTTAAAGTATACTCTGACCATGAAACACTTCGCTGGCTTAAAACGCAAGCTCGAATGACACCTAAGTTAACAAGGTGGGCTGCAGAGATTRATATGTTTGACTTTGAGCTGAAGCCAGTCAAGGGTAAGTATAACGTTGTTGYYGATGCACTAAKTCRTAGATCAAACTTTTTCGGTGCTATCGTGACTTACCTAGATGTAGGTACAGACCTACAAGAAAAAATTAGAGATGCGTATCCTTCTGATCCTGTTTATGGAACCATGATTAAGCTAGTGCAAGAAAAGCCAGCAGAGTTTCCCGATCATAAAGTAACTCAGGGTCTATTGTTTGAACGAACTGACGTGCATGATAGGCTGTGTATACCGAATAATGAGGAGATCAAGAGTATGATCTTGGGGGAATGCCATGATACAGAAGGCCATTTTGGGTGGAAGAAGACCTATGGGACCTTGTTACGCTCCTACACCTGGCCTCGAATGAAAGCGGATTGTATCGCTTATGTGCAGGGTTGCCAAGTGTGCCTACGAAACAAAAGCACCACGCAATTGCCCCTCAGGCTACGTAAGCCCTTGCCTATCCCTACCGGCCCTGGAGACTCTGTCTCTATAGATTTCATGGACACTAGGGTAAAAAGCAGAAATGGGAAGACGCAAGTAATGGTCATAGTGGATAGATTCACTAAGTTTGCTGTTTTTGTAGCTTTGCCTGCAGAAGCAAAGACTGAATTGGTAATTCGGGAATTCTTTAACCATTGGGTAAAAGACTTTGGACATCCCTTAACTATTGTGAGTGACAGAGATACCAGGTTCACAAGTGAACAATGGCAGCAACTGATGGATGTATATGGTTCTAAGTTGACAATGTCATCAGGTAGGCATCCTGAGACTAATGGTCAGACTGAACAGATGAATAAGATCTTGCAGCAGACTTTGCGCATGTACATTCGTCCCGACCAGATTGACTGGGATGAACAGCTGCCTAAGGTCTGTCTCTTATACACATCTAGATGTGTATAAGAGACAGGAATGAATGCCTTGCTGTGATTCCCGCATTCTGCTGTAGGTAAGAACATTGGAAATATGTAGTTGTGAGAAATTATCACCTGGCTGTCTTTAAAGGAGGTGTGTCAATGAATGTCCTGGTTCGTCTTTTCGGAGCAGAGAGCATGGAGTTTGACTTCCCACCCCACTGGAAATTGAGTTACCCTTTGAACCCCGTGCTTTTTGCTGGGATCTGCAGGTGGACTTAGTGTGTAGGGAATATGCTAGACTGCCTGACTTCGTTGGTGAACATGTTCAGAAGTTCTCCATCCAGCACAAACTGCGAACTGGGGGATTTTTCTCAGATCAGGAAATCTTGCATCGAGGCTGGCTCTATGTCAGCTTGACATGTTATTGCCCATGTATTTGAAGAGTGCTGATCACATGCGCGTTCTTGTCTGGTTGAATTGGATGCAAGCAGGACTGTGTTCGAGGCTGTAGCTGCACAGGGACTCAACCTGAATCGGCGTGTACATGGTAACAAGCTGATGATCAGATTCATCAAAGAGGTAAATAAAAGGGCCTTTACCCGATATAGGCCTCAGGCCTTGTAAAAATAGAGCAGCACGGGCCTTGTAAAAGTAAAGCATTGTGAAAAGGTATCTTGCCAGGGCTCAGAAACGTGAAAACAGGTCAAAAGTCAAGTTCTCTATCAACAGGCACATCTAAATCTAAGGCAAAGGGCATTGTCAAAAGACTTACCTGTTCACCAGGAGATGTGTATGTCATGTCTGTTCGAGTAAGGGTGTGTCTGTACGTGTAGGCAGTGTACCTGTTCGTGCAGTGGAAAGTGCCTGTTCAAGTAGTACATGTGTCTGTTCGTTTAGAGTTGTGCCTGTCCGAAAGTGAAGTCAGTAGGCACAGTCCCAGTTCTGGTCTAAGTCAAGGGGTCAGTCCAGATCCAGACTTTCAAGTCCAAATCCAGGCCGAAGTGCCTCAGCAGCAGTTGAATCTCATTGGGACTGTACTGGGACACATGCAATGCAGGGTCTGGGACAAAGGGAGAGGCTGAATTGAGCCAATGCAGACCCAGCGAGGAGTGGCCAGCACTATAAAAAGAGCTGCCTGCCTCATTCCTCGCCAGATCTCCACTGGCTGCAATGCGTGGAAGTGCTGGTGCACTTGTGCGCTGAGTCAGGAGAAGATGCGCTGGAGGGAGGAAGAAGCCTGTACGCTGGAAGTGATGCAGCCATAGCTGCCCAGCGAGTTAGCATTAGTAGTAGAGGGTTCGTATGTAGCTATGAGTAGTATCCAGAGTAGATCCTCATGAGTATTGAAGTGTGTGTATGCATCATAGGAGGAARRGATTGAGGCTGAGAGTGTTCATTCAAGGTTTGRMTATGGAAGGTACTTACCTGAGTTGGTTGTGACSTGCAGAGGTGGCGCTGATGAGTAGTGACCACGTTGATGATTTGGAGACTATCTGCAAGGTTAGCACTGATTCACTGGAAGGCATATTGATGAGTTGGCAAGATATTGGTGTTGCGCTGATGAGCGCTGGACTCRGGGGAACTTTGAAACACTTTGTATTCATATTTCTGATAATATAAACTGTGAAACTCGGTCCTCATCTTCTCTATCTTTGTCTATTGTCAGACTACATGGCATGTACACACTTGCGTGAGATGGTCCCCAGGACCCATGCATAAATGCCTGTTATAAGCCATTTATTGTATGATACAAGTCATGTGCAGGCTTCCAGCAAGTTGGAGAACTGATGTTACTCGTGCCATGTGAGTTAGGCATTACTTCCTGTGTCTGCTACACCTGTTGATCTAATGATATGTGTGCGTGTGTGTGTGTGTGTGTGTGTGTGTGTGTGTGTGTGGTTCCGACATACGCAGAACAGATGCTGTATCATGGTGTGTGTGTGTGTGTGTGTGTGTGTGTGTGTGTGTGTCATTTGTAGTTTGTTTGTTTGTGTGTGTGTGTGTGTGTGTGTGTATGTGTGTGTGTGTGTGTGTGTGAGAGAGAGAGAGAGAGAGAGAGAGAGTTTGTAGTGTTACTTTATTGGTTAGGTGTAGCGAACTTGTGATCTTTTTATCAGTAATATGTGTGTACAGTTCAGGACAAGGCAGCTGCTGGTGGAATGTGACTGACAAGTGACGGTTTCAAATTACCTTTTGGAGAGGGTGATTGAACCGTGATTCCTTTTGTTATCATATGCAGGAGGATTTTAACCTAGTTGCGGCGCACCAGTGCGCAGTGCGGTGCGGGGTGGTGCGCACTACGCTGTGCGCTGGAATGAGCGCTGTGTGAGGTGCGCGCACTGAGGGAGGTGCGCCCTGTGCGCGATATGAATTAAAAAAAAAAAAAACAGGCCCCAGAGAGAGAGAGAGAGAGAGAGAGAGAAAAGAGATAACAAAGGGTCACCTTCAGGTCAATTCAAGTGCCCCTGCAGGTTCCTCGAATGATTCCTACGTTACATGTGGAGTCATCGAGGACCACTGCTTCAATTAGGAGGATGTTCTCTTTATCTGTGAAAGAGGTAATATATGCTTTGGATTCGAGTTCAAGGCTGTGGCTTGGCAGTTATGGGTCACCAATTCAGCTAGAGCCTGTTTGTGTCTCCACGTGATTTTCAGGGCCTCCCTCCACCACTCACCAAATGTATACAATATTAGTAGAATGAATCTTCTGCTAAAACATGGGACCATACACCGCCATATGCTATTTCTTTTGTGCATGTGGTGAGTAGTGGAGCAGGGCCCACTGTACGGATTCATAAGAAAACAAAAACAAAAAACCGAGAGAGCGTGCATCTTCATCCTAACCCATAACTGCCGACATGCAGACCTGGCCGCCAACCTTCAGAATATATTGGTGGTCGGCCACACATGAAAATGTAACCTGTGACTTCTGCAATGTTTGTGGGGCAGGTTGTTACTTGACGACTACTCCCTTCTCGCGAACTTACCCCACCACTGTGTGGGATTTGCAGAAGGGAGGGGGAAGGCCAGTTTCCATACTGCCTAAGAGAAAAGTTGGAATGCGCCCTATTTTATGCTTTGCCTTTTTGAAATTTCTGGGAGTAGGGCCTGCAGAAATTAATTTTTCGGCAGCCCTTGACCAAAAAAAAGTTTGGGCCGGGGGCGCGGCCGGTTTGCGAGCTCGCGCGGTGCGTTTGACATTTTTGCCGAGTTAGGGACCCTAAGGAATGACAAAACCCCTACCTTTTTTTTTTTTTTTTTTTTGGACCTAATTTTTACAGTGTGGCGCGCTTGGGTGCGCTGTGGGGTGCGCTGGGCGCGGTGCACAAATCGTGCGCAAATCAGCGCACCGAGGTGCGCTGCAACTATGATTTTAACCGAGGATTGATTGATCAATGTTTGTCCCCAGCCAACTTATGTGAACTCGAACCGCAAACTCTGTGAAGATATGAATAAGGGGGCTTTGTATTAATAATCATGGAAACCGGGTCCAGTGCCCCTTACCTCAGGTGCACTCGCTCAACACATCTACCCGTTATGGTTGAGAGATCCTAAGACAGCAGCTTAGCTTCTCAATTGGAAGGATTTACCACTGCTCCACCCCTGTTTTTCAAAAGTTACTGTGACTACCAGGACTAAAACGGATCTTGAGAGGATTGATTGCTTGAATTTGCTTCCCTTTGGAAGGATCAATTGTCAGATCATAACTTGACTTTTTTGTTTTTGACATATGCAAGATAGCTGAGATCCAGGATCTACAAATAAGATGGAAAGACTGGCACAATTCGTCGATCCTCCAGAGGACAACTCCAGACCAGGAGGAGCAACAGGACTTCAGGGCAACATAAGTTCCGTTGAGCCTAGAAGGGATGGTGCTCTCTAAAAAAATAAATAAAAAAAATCAATTATGTCTAGTCGGTTTTCCAGCTGAAGACCCAGGTACATGAGGAACCAGCTCCGTTCTGGGCCTGGAAGAGCTTCCAAGACACACGTACGGCGGACGGCAGCCGATGGTTCGCGTGGAACAGATGGTAAAAGAGTAATGTTGTTTAAGGTTTAGTATTTAGGGTTTAGGGCTTAGGCTGGAGGGTGTGGACAGAAACAAGACGAGCAGGGGTGAGAATGTTGGAGATATCACAAGGCTCATATGCGGGATTTAGGGTGCACATAGAGTTTGGAAGAAGTTGCAGCTGCTTAGACCTCTCTTGCTATTTATGTGTTATCTGACAGGCTCTTTTAGTAGTTCTGAGAGGAGAGATGGAAGCAGCGCAAGCTGACAGTCAATCCTCCACGATGTTGGAGTAATCATTGCTGATCAGGGTTCCTTCGGCCAGACGGAAGGAAGCGTGAGGGTGTTATATGATGTAATTATTTTTTCTGACTTGCCGGTGGAATAGGAACCGGACTGATGCTCCCCAGAATGGAAATGGAGCCAGGGCCATAAGGACCTGTTTTTAAAAAAAAAAAAGAAGAAGAAAAAAAAAAAGAAACCGCGATGACAGGAAAAAGAAACCGCGATGACAGGAAAAAAGAAAACAAAAAAAGAAGGTGATGGCGACCTTGGGATATCTTCATCGATCGGACTGGCTCTAGGCGCGCGAATTGTGCACTGTTCACGGTGCAGCGCAAGTGGATGTGCCGCGTGTATGATTTAATTCCATCCATCAAGGTCGAGCAGGATTTGAACTCAGGTCTGTATTTCAACAGTTTAGGGGTGTACCAACTGAGCGATGCTCCTCTGTACCCTATGCCATTTCCAACTAATGTCTAGCTGTAGTAGCTGATGAAATAAGCTGATTGTGTGGTCATTGTTTATTGTAGTTTTTCTAACTTTTTCATAAAGCGGCGGCAAATGGCAGACCACAGAGGCATTTCCAAAACCTTCGATGTGTTGCAGTGGTATGCACTCCTCAGAAGCTGCAGTGCTGTTGTTCTCTGAGGCTGTGCTTCAGTTGTGTAGGAGTGTAATTATGTTGGTTTGCTTTGTGCATGTGAGTGAGTGTGTGGATTTTTTAACGGTTCACAAAACATTGTTTGCTGCCGAGGCGGATTCCCCCTACGCAACAAAGAAGAAGGAACCACCATGGTGTTTTTTTTTCTTTTTTTCTTTTTTGTTGCTAAAGGGCGATGGCCTTGAGATATCAACATTGATCTGACGGCCCCCAGGTAATTCAGAATGGTTTTATATGGGTCATCGGATTGTATCTGGATTCGAACTTGCGCCTGCCATTTCAACGGTTCGTGGGTGTACCAACTGAGCTACGCCCGTGGTTGCCAGCCGTTTTTGTCAGGTAGCATTGTTCATCCGGGGAAATGTCTTATTTTTATCTCAACTTTGAGGAATGTGTCCTCAGGGGCCCTTAGACAACATGCATATGTTCGGACTGTGGACCCCAGCGGGCCTCGTGCCCGCTCTAAGTGAAGGTGGGCCTGAATATTCACGAGAGGCCCTTATCTCAGCATTTTCCAATGCGGGTCGCAGACAGTTGGTTGAAGTGCAACCTGAGGCCTTACGCTGGGCTCTTCCAGAGGAAGGAACTGCGCCAGGCAGTTGAGCCCAGGGCCTGGGTGGTTAAGCCAAGGGCACATGCATTGAGAGGCCGATACATCACGAAGTGGCCACGAGCCAACAAGAAAGCAGCATTGTTGTCGTATCTGCCCCGTGGGCCAGTGCAAATGCAGCAAACATTTGGAGCCTGGAACTGGGTGTGCCCAACTAAAAAGGGCCCAGGCCCATAACTGTCAAAGTCGGCCTGGGCGCAGACATTGGGGCCCAACCCGAAGCTACTGGAAACTTCCAGGGCCAGACCTACACAGCTCAGTAGCCGCAGCCTCTCCCATATAGGCAGGAGGCTAGCCAGAGCTGGGCATCCTGACCTAGGCAGGCAATGCGGAAACACTAATGCGACGCTGCGCCAGTGTCTGCATCTGCGCTGGCTGGCTGGGGTGCGTGCGGGCACTGCGAGGCAGCGGGGCGCTAGCGTCCATAGCCGGGCTGCAGGGCGCGAGGCAGAGGAGGGCGACGGGGGTCTTCGGGAGGAGGTGCTTAAGTGGGTGGTCAGGGAGTGGTGAGGGGAGACGAGGATACGTACCGGGTGTATGTGGGAGGTTGGTATTGGTGTTGACGACATGTACATTGGTCTTCAAAGTCGAAGTGAGCTTGTTGCATGAGCGTAGATAGGCGCTAGGCAAGTAGAATAGGCTGGGCGCTGGGCGCCAGACACAGAGGAGCGACATTGAATACTGCGTTTGTGTGGCCTGAGGGCTTGAACATTGGCTCAGAAGTTAATTGCAAACACTGGGGGCGACGGAGGGACCATAGTAGTGATTGATGCCAGACATCACAAAGGGTCCTATGGAGAACACGATCATTCACACGGCGGCCATCCAGGTGCGTTCGAGCTCTCTGCTTGTACATGACTATCTGGACTTCTGCGTGATTTTGCAACTTGGTTTTCTGTATATCATTCTTGCTCATATTCCTTGCATCTGGAGACGCAGTGGCGGTTTAAACATGCGGCGAAAAAATGGTCGGTCAGTGCCGAAGAAATGGCCCATGACGTATTCTCTTACAGTCCCTGACTCCCTGGTTTCCAGTGCCTGACATTATTTTCCAGCTGCGGATTGGATGCAAAAAAATCCTACTTCGTCATCCTTCTCTGCAGTCTGCGTGTGCCAGGCCCATGTCATTTGCGGAAACCACGAGTACCTCCGAGCCTCTGTCCACGATGTCATCCTTTTCCGGAGGAGCTGACCAGGGAAATGGTGTGTCTGGCCCCAGCCAAGTTGAGAATCCGATTGAGCCTCTCTTACAATTTTGGAGGCTCGGGCCAGTGTGTCCACAGGGCCAATAGGAAACAGAATTGTCCCATGCTGTGGGGTGGCACTAGGCTCAGCCCTGAACCAACAAAAGATAATTCCGCTCGCCACCAGGTGGGCCCTGTCCTGAGTCCCCTAACTTTTCGGAGAGGCTCATTCACACTCTCCAGATGTACTGGTAGTTTTAAACCAAGAGTACCTGTGTGCCTCTTTTTTCCATGGCAGATGGCACTGCGTGCCAAGCTTTGCTGATCTGTCAGTGGTGCACTTCCTTTTAATTTCTAGCTGACGCCGCCGGCCATTTCGGTCCGGTAGCGCTGCTCGCCTAAAATCTGCCTATTTACTCGATTTCGATTCTCAAGTTTGCCTGGTGATGTGCTGGCAGTTTAAGATGATGAAATATTGCGTTCGGTTACTTGCCGACTCACAGAATTGAGCTCATGCTCAGAGCAACGCGTGCGATGGGGTTCTAGGCAGATTGTGTGGCAGCAATTATTCAATTTTCGTGCTGCATGATAAACTACAGGGGTTGATAAACAAACTAAAGTGCAATCTGGCATTCATCCTTAATTACAACATTCGATTGTGTCATGACTGCAGTGTTGCATCATGCCATATTCCCTAGGCATGCGGAGAGCCTGCCCAAGGAAGGGTCTTTCTTCGGGGAGGATGCCTCCTGGGGAGGCTGGTTGCTCACCCATTCTGAACAGTGCGCACTGCCCAGACATTATGAATGTGCACAAGCGGCACTAGTGGCTAGGGTTACTGCTGAGAAGTTAGAACTGGCTAGTTGGGAAACCTCGTTATTGCTGTTCCTTTTCCTGGAGCAGCATCTAGAGGCAAGAGAGACATAGTTTGTTGAGAATGGGGAGCTTTACAGAGCTCTACGGTGGTCAGTTGTTGCGTGGGACGGTGGTATAGGCACTGCACAGACATTATAAATGTGCACAAGCGGCAGTAGCGGAGAGGGTTACCGCTGGGAACGGGCCAGTTGGGAAGCCTCGTCTTTGCTGTTTGTTTTCCTGGATTCGCATCTAGTGGCAAGAGAGCAAGAGAGACGTAGTGTGCGGAGGATTAACTGCGGAGGATCTTGGATTCTGTGTGGATGCTGCTGCCTGCGGAGGATCTCATGGATGTCGCGTGCGGACGAGTACGTCCTTGCTGCAACTGTGCTGGGGTGGCTGAATGTCACGACTGGTATGTCATCAGTTTTGGACACCGTGTCACAGTTGCAGTGGTAAAGGCATCCGGCTGTTATAGCTGAGGTCACCGGTTCCATTCCGATTGACAGAAGATCGATCAGGGCTACAACGACAAACTTACCGGCAGCTGTTGCATGGGACGGTGGTATATCTGGTAGAGTTGCAAGGAAGCTAGTGGCGATGGTGCAGTGCCAGGGACAAATGGTAGAGTAGTAGTAAGTTATTGGCTATGGTTGCTGAGTAGGAGAGACTCCAAAGATAACTCTCGTGCCTGGAAGGCAGTCCTCAGTCTTGGTGTCCTGAGATGAGACTCATCATGAGAGGCAACATACTCCACTTGTCTTGCACACGCAAGCAATGCAGATTAGAACTCGGAATTGTTCAGGAGGGTCAAGTTAGGTGGGAGGGACAAATAATATCAGGCTTATGGCCGTTCGAGAACAGAAAAGGCTCGAGTAAAGTGGGATGCGTTGTAGATGTAGGCGCATGTGGCACTCCATTAGTGAAATGTTAAAAGTACATTGGAGCTTCTGCGTTACACGTTTTCCTTCGTGTCGTCTTTGCTTTGAGGCACTGGTTTCGCAAGGAGTGCCTCACAAATTGCCGTTGATTGGGAAGCCTTCTGTTGGGTTCTGGTCGAGGTGTCCGGTGATATTCACGATTCTCTCTATCAGGACGCTTGGAGTGATTTGGTATACTTTCTCCCTTGCTTCGCTCTATGAGTACTGGACTTATTTTGAGCTCACTGTGTTCACTTCAGAACTGCGGCTATGCATTATATGATTTTAATGCTAACAAATGGATGCCGGAGAGGACACCCTGTCCAAATTATGCTCTTGTTTGACCCTTGTCGCTTTTCTGCAAGTCATGGTCAAGTCTATGGGCGTCGCTGCACTACTGTGCACATGGACAAAAGACAAAAAAGTTGGCAATGTATCTTTCCATGTTCTAGCGGTGGATTCAGTCTCATTTTTCACATTTGGAGAGTAGTGCAGCGAGGCCTTATGTCTGAGCAAGTCGGGAGTGCTTCGGGTGTTGGCGTATCTGCATGTTTCATGTTTGAGATGGTCCATGTTGGGTCTATATGGACTCTATGCAGAGAGCTCGGTTCGTGCATGAGACAGATTGTTTTCGAGTCTGCCTGTTCTGCTGCTGCTGGTTGCAGACTGCTGAACAGCGCAACTTGCAACAATAGCTGACAAACCAGCAGTTCTTCAGCCAGGAGCAAGCAATGCTTTTTTCAAGTTTAGAATTTTAGATTGAAGAGGACTGGAAAGTCATGGAAGGTAGTCAATTAACTGAATGCCCAGGAACTAGCATGGAACAGCATTCAGTGTGTTCATAACCTTAGAGCTTGGTGGAACTAGGAAGCCAACATCATTTCTGAATTTCCACCTTGCTCGCATGCATGTCATGAGACTGAAGTTGGGCCAGGCTTGACAATGAAGCTGGGCTAATGAAGGATGGTGACTTGAGCTGTGTTGCTTGTATAGGCATGTGTAGAGACACGATCTGTGAAGTCTTCTATGTTCCGAGGGAGGGACTGACCTATCTGATCTTGAAAATGCTGTCTTTCGATCACGTGTGATGTTACTTTTGTTTGTGTGCAGATACCACCTGTCGGGCTTGAGACTGCCAAGTTGAAATCGAAAAGGGCAATTCTAAAATGTGACCATGAGTCTGCAAGTCAGCCTACTGAGGGAGCTACGGGGTCGTGCACCGAGGACTCTGAAAGCCGTGCGGATGATAACAAGTGGATGACAATGAGGCAGAAGGGATCAGCGACGCACAGGAAAGTTGACAGGAGTACACAGAGTGATAGAGCGAACCAAGCAGAACGACATCTTCTGGAGGAAGCAGAACGCTGCGAACTAAGCGGGAGAGAAAATAACTCAGAGGAACGAATGGGCAGATGTCACCAACCCGATTGGGAAATCAGGCAGGGCATTGTTGAGGCAAAGAAGGAACCAAGTGCCAGTGTGTTGTTCGATCTGAAACCTGCTGAGAAGCCCGGGCCATTGCAGGGGGCATCTCATGGGGGGAGACCTGGCTTGCAATCATCCGCAAGGGATGAGAATGGCAAGGGGCATAAACAGGATGGATTTGTTCGCAAGGAAGAAAAGGGGAAAGCCATCGTAGCTGAAGGCATGGAACGGAATCCAAAAGCTCAGAACAGCTCGCAAACAAGTGTCTCGGCTGATTCAGACGAAGGTAATTGCCTCACATATAACAGAGATGCAGCTGAAATGGCCAAGCAGGATGAGAGCATGCCAAGTGCCAATGGAGATTCTGCCTCGTTAAGATTGTCGAGATGCTCTGGTCAGGTGGTGGCTCAAGAAGGTGGGCATGTCAAACGTCCCAGCAATCTTGACAAACATGGTCTTGTTAGTCACTTCGGAAAGTCTCGTTGTGAGAAGGCAGCTGCAGCAGGCAGTCAAACTTCTGCAATTAATTCCTTGCCACCCGGCGCCGTGCAGTTTCCTGTGATGGATCATGTGTTACCTCCAGGAGTGGGTTCTACAATGTCTCTGGCTGTCGGTACTGCACTTCCGCTGTGCTTGGCATCCGCTCTGCCTCCTGTTGTGCCACTGGCACTTGGCACATTAGCGCCACTTTTGGGCCCCGTGGTGGCCCCAGCATCCCCTCTTTTGTCACTCTCAGTACCCTTGGCTACATCAGGCGTTGCGTCTTTCTCTTCGCCATTGAGCACCTCTTCTGCAGCAGGGAAAGCTATTCTTCGTCATCGGTTTGAATTCGGACTGGTGAGAGCTACGTAGCTGAACCTTTCGTTTGTCAACACTCTCTACAGCATGCGCATCTCCAGCATTTATCCACTCAACATTCGAAAGTTTATGCCGAGGCGAACGAAGGGTGGGCTTCAGCATTGCTGAATGGATGTGCTTTAGCATTGAGCTTCATATCAGGGACAATTTTTTGTGCATTCTCGGTGTTGCATGCCTAACAGCATATGGGCATGGTGAGGAACCAAGAATCACCAATGTGAGGAGGAGCAACAAGGCAATGCAGTGGAAGTCTGAAAAAAACAAGCAATCTGACTCTTATAACCCAAGACTCGGACGGTACACTCATCATCCCGAAAGAGGGGAACATAAATGGGTGAAAAAACCCTCCTTTCTCTGCACACATATGGGGATAAAAACCACAGATGATGAGGCAAGAACGAGAAGTCGAAGTGTGAGAAGAGAAGGAGAAGAGAGGGAAACCAGATGAAATTGTCATAATATTAGTTCTCTCTCTTATCCCACATTCGTCCCTTAGCACAATGTGAAGTTGCCATCTCTCTCTCTCTCTCTCTCTCTCTCTCTCTCTCTCTCTCTCTCTCTCTCTCTCTCTCTCTCTCTCTCTCTCTCTCTCTCTCTCTCAACTCCGGAGGCAGATATGGAGGCGAGACACAAGACTTCAATCAGCCTTGTCTCAATTTCACTCGCAACATGCATACGTGTAGGTGCCGATGGGGCAACACAACTTGCAATGGCGCACTGCACCCACACAGAAAACTCTGAAGTATGGCCTTAGGCCAGGAACTCAGCTTAAGTCAACTTGTCACATCTGGGCCATGATCTGGCGGCTATGGCCGCTGAGCGCTAGCCTGAATTCCCCCTTCAACACTCGCCACCATCAGACACTCTCACTCACACACGTACTTACTAGTATTTACCCTGAATGTCGACGCACACACACACACACACACACACACACAGACACACACACACACAATACCCTATCATTGATGTCAGCAACTGGGTGGCTATGACCGCCGTCGTCTTCCTCATCCACTAGCGGCTATGGCCACTTGCCCTCTTCTTCGTCGGGCACCTGCAGACCTCCAATGCACAAGTCGCATAAGCAGCACTTCCGCATGGCTTGCAGGCGAATGAATGCCTGGCTTGGCGCTGCCTCTTTATTTATACTGTTTCGTCGGTGGTCTGGCCAGCCTCTGGTCCCAGGCCCAAGGAGTGTACAGCCCCACCTGGTACTTGCTGACTGGACAAGGTCGACTGAGACTTTAGACTGGGAATGCTGACTAGGCTGGGACTAGACTCTACCTTGCTGACTCAGCTATAGCGAATGACCCTTACAGCTCCGAAGAGCCAAGTAGTACCTTCTAGACTGACCCTTCACTACGCTTAGGACTAACCTATAGGACTGACCCTAAGACTACTAACCTGTAGGTCTTCGGCTCAAGTCCACACGACCCAGACTACATACGTAAAACATTTGTACATGACAGGTTGCGGGTTCGAAGCCACATAGGGGGGGGGGTCTCCACAAAGGTCAGGATAGGTCTAGGGATCGAGCCCTGGGAGCTGCAATTGTCATGGGAACTGTATGAAACCCTTTCAAGAAGAAGAAAGGATTCACGCATCCTGAAGTTGGGTCCCGGTTCCAAGTCCCAATTTTCGCAGTACCATATGCTCAACCTGAAGGTCCGTACTATGTTTCTGGTAGGTACGAAGCGTGAAGCATGTACGGAAACCATAGGCCCACGAGTACGTATGAGTCAGTCGGTCAGTTGCTAGGTACCAGTAGACTGTCAGCCCTGTTCAGTTGCCCCTCTGTCCCAGGAAAGTCCTATGAAAGCCCGAAACATTGAGGCTGGCTGTGGCCAAGGAAGGCAGAGGGGCTGATGTGAGAACACTTATTTGGGTAACTGCAGCATATAGGAAAGGGAGTCACAGTCAGCGTCAAAACAATGTCCATTCATCTCTATTGCAGCAGCACTGCCGCGTTGCTGTGCGATCAAGCCACGGATGAAGGAGGAGAGAGTAGCCTGCGTAGTAGTCAGCGATGTCCGGTGCCATGGGGAGTAGAAATAAAGATGATAAGAGATGTTGGAAGACTAAGACAGAGGAATAGCAAGGCCTGAGTGTAGTATAGAAGGGGTAGGGAGAGAACGGCATACCTGTTTGGGCGGCCATGGCCTGTTCTGAATAATTTCGAGCTCCTGTGAATTCTCGGATCATTGCAAAAGAAGGGAGAAGAAACCTCCCTCTTCAATGCAGCGGGTCGGAGGATGAGGCCCAGTCATGGTCAGTACCCAGCCTGGAACTATGGCACCCAGGTCAGTCCTCTATTGCCCATGCCGCTCCTGACCATACCATCTCGCTACACCGTCCTATCTGCTAGCAGTAAGCTAGCTTTGCTGGTGCTAACACACACTGCCCTCGAGCGCCCTATTGCCTAGACAATAACACAGTGTCCTGAACTGATGACTGGTCCCAGCTATGTACTGCTGGGTCTGTCCCTGTGTCACCTGGTAGTCCACCTGGTCGTTTGAATCGGATCGGATCTGGTGGGCGAAGAGGATGGAAAAAGTAGCACACACTGCCTGAAATGCAAGGATAACCCTAGGCCTGACCAAAATGTGGGTTGCACAGCCCTCAGGCAGGCCTGGTGCACGGCGCATCCACCACCAGTACCTCACCCAGGCAAAGTTGAGAATCGAAAATGTGGCATTTCGGGTTCCTTGGACAAACAGACTACTGCACCAAAATGGGTGGCAGCACCAGCCAAAACAAAAATGACAGCGACTTCGTTGTTGGCCTTGCACTTGGCTCAGCGAAGTTCGTCAATACCCAACGAAGGTGCTCCACATGCTGTTCGATGATACACAGAGAAGGTGCTTCAAACGCTGTTTGTCCAACTGCAGAGTAGAGTATAGTCTCTGAACTGAGTTATCCTCGCCAATTGGAAAGCTGCTGGGCATTTGTAAGCTCAAATGGCATCACAATCTCTCGAAATGCCCCAAACTTATGAATGTGGATTTATAGCATACTTGCGGCACGTTTGTGCGGTGTGGTATGTGCCGCGCGGTGCGTTGATCGCTGATGTGTGAAAAAAAAAAAAAAAAAAAAGCGGCCATGATATGTGTATACACGCGTGCGTGCGCGCGCGCGCGCGCGCGAGAGAGAGAGAGAGAGAGAGAGAGAGAGAGAGAGAGAGAGAGATACATGCTGCCTGCAACAGGCTGCACGGGCCATTTTCAGGCCCGTGTTGTTTTCAGCCTGGAAGCCTGAAAACAAGGGCCTACAGGCCCCGTGTTGTTTTCAGCCTGTTTCAGCCTGAAAGCCTGAAAACAAGGGCCTACAGGCCCTGTGTCATTTCAGGCGAAATCAGGGCCTTTCCGGCCCTGAGTATTTTCAGCCTGAAACTGAGGGCCATTTTCAGGCCCTCATCAGTTCGAGCTGCCCTGAAACTCAGGCACCAGACCAGGGTTTTAGCTCAGGCCATTTTTGACCTATTTTCAAGAGCACCTTTGTTTGAGCTTCAACCCCAGGGTCTGGCACGTTTTGGCATTGGCAAGAGCAGCCTCCTTGACGGGCCAGCACTATATAAGACTGGCCCGCCCTGCAGGAGGCAAGTAGTTGCTAGGTAGTTCCTAGGTACTTCCCAGGCACTTCACGTGCAAGGCAGAAGGCAGTCAGTAGTCTTCAGGATTCGGCAGCAGAACTCTGGAGGAGTGCTGCAGGAGTAGTAGCAGCGTTAGCAGTAGTCTTCAGCGCTGGGCGCTAGTAGCGTTAGCGGTAGTCTCCAGCGCTGGGCGCCATAGCAGCTAGAGTAGTACTAGCGAGAGAGAGATTGGGCGGAGGCCAGAGGGACTTAATAGCAGCGCCATTGCCCCAGCTTCGTCTTCGAGGTACCTGCAGCACAGCACCATCTTCACAGGTGAGTACCCGGCACATGAGAGAGAGAGTTCTTCTTCTTCCTCTTCTCAGTCCACCATCTTCTTCTAACCCTCTCGCTATCTGACTTCACTGCATCAGCAGACTACGAGAGAGAGAGAGAGGAGAGCTTGGTGACATTGGATCCAGTCTCGACGTAGACATTTTGAAGAGGGATTATTTGGGACGTGTAACGAGACTTGGTGTTGACGACTTTCCCATCTCCCCCTTCCTCTTCTTCGTCTGATCCCCTCCTCTTCGTCTGTGTATGTCTGGACCTGGCGCCTCTTTCCTGTGTATAGCGCCAGGCCCCTTCACACCTGGTGATGAGCATGATGTATGTTTGGTCTGCGTTAAAACATTGATTGGGCTAGTCATTAGTATTCTAGCATTCTGCTTCCCTGCCTTGTACTGCGTGAAAGAGGTCAGTCCCGGTCAGGTCAGGACTTGTATCCAAGTCTTCCACTGTGCTGAAAAGCACCATTTTGTATGTATCGGAATGCACACTGCTTGTTGAGATTTCACGTGCCCTGCATCGTCCATTCAGTCCTTTTTATCACATTGCGGATCCTCGGTTTATATGTACATTGCCCAACTGGGCATGTAACAGAGAGAGAGAGAGAGAGAGAGAGAGCAAGCAAAGAGTTATTTCTCATTATTCAGAATACCCCTGTCAGGGCTTCACACCACTACTCACCAAATGTGCATGAATCTTCTGCTAGAACATGGAACCATATGCTGCCATATACAAGTTGTGACTGGTGGATTGAGGCCCTTGGGGTCACCAGAGTATTAGTAGCGAGCTAGTAACCCATAACTCCTGGAACACAAACCTGAATTCGAATCCAAGCTATATATTGATGGCCTGCTCGTGTCTTAACTGCAATTTGATGAACGTCTCTCCGAAGAAATGGTCACCTTGCTAGTTCTCTTCTGGGAGCCCTTTGGAAAATAGACTGGATCCAACGAGGAGTATGATGTGGCCCCAAATTCTTTCTTTCTGTGCACTCTCAATTTTCAGGAGGGAGGGCTTTGTTTGGCTACCACTGCCTGCCCTTTTCAATTTTATTTTTTTTTCC